GTACATGAATTCATTTGGGGACCCATGGAACTTCAATCATTTGGGACATCATGACAGTCATGGAGTCAAATAACGAGGGTGCATATCGAACCACGACAGACGGTCCAAAGGAAAGTTGTTCAAGGGTACATGGTGGCATTCATGGGACCCAGAAGTGTTATCGTACTCTGAACCTTGGTTCAAGACTAAAAAAAATCAATGAAAGTGGGTTATGTGCATTTGCAGCCGATTGATTCTGGCTGTCTAATTTGAAATTGAACGCGTGAGTTAGCTTTAGGTTTGACAAGAGCTACGGTCTTGTTCGCTGCGGATGATGGGGCGTGTCAGGGGGGGGGATGAAGGTTTGCAAGCCCGTGTCTTTTCTTCACGCGAGTGACAAGACAGTACCACAGCATTTACACCAGTCGTTTTCCACCAGCTGCGGTCGCTTACCTGCTTCAAAAAATGATGAAGGAAGGGGTGGCGGCGCTAAACCCAAGCTCACTGACACGCCCCATCATTCGCAGCGAAAAAAACTAAACTATTTTCTAGACTACCACTACTTAACCGAAGGTTTACCCCTGGAACTTTCTCTGGAGATTCAGGTGAAGGGTCGGCGACACGTTTCACTTCTTCAACAATGGCCGTAGCTCGTTCCTGAATTGCGTCACAAGCTTCAGTTAGCGCCGATTTCGCCTCAGCGATTGCTTCTGACGTTGCGCCCTCAGCAGGCTTCTGAATGTTAGCACACGTTAGCCAAAGTCAGCACTACAACACAACAACATAATGAGAGCTAAATAATAAAGCGTAAGCATTTAAGAGGCACGGTCCACGCTAAACGAGTGGGACAGACATGGGCGGGGACACCCAGTATTGCGCCTTTCTCATTGGCGTCTCCCTCCTTTTTGCTATGAAAGAGGAAGGACATATTAATGAGACTAGCCCGATGGATCTCTGTCTCCGCCATAGTGCCGGCGTGGACTCTCACTTGAGGATTATGATTTCAAGACCTTGAGTATAAAAAAAGAAAATAAATGTAAGTAAAACATTCCAATCGAAAAGGAAGGCATATTGAGGGAAGTGAGATATTGGAGCAAAAAGCTAAGCCTCTATCTTATTAGTCCTTTCCTAGCCCTATTGAGAAAAATCAGCAACACAATAATTGTACGCTGTTCAGAAACTGATCAATAATCGCTGATTTTTGGGAAAAAGCCAGGTGCAGGTTATACGGAACCCATGGGAACTTTGCTTTTCGTTTTTCACCCAGGTCGTGAAATCGAATCTTGACCCTTTAAGGAATGAAGTTACATTAGTAGGAGGTAAGGTTACGTTAGTATTAGCGATTCGTGAGGGTAACATAGGAAGTTGGGGACTCACCCTTGGTAAGATTTATCAATACGCTAAGTTTTTCAGCAGTATTAATGGACTAAATGGCCCGCGCAGTTTGTTGGACGAGGGGCATTTTCGCTTTCCATAATGTTTCGGCCCATCTAGGTAGCCGTTTCTCGAGTTGACACGTTTTAGGATAGTGGCTAGACGATCTTGCTTCAGCTTCACAAGAGTTCACAAGTTTTACCAGAGTGGATTTGTAATGGGAGCGGTAGCAATGATTAGTACAAAATGCCCCCGTCGACAAACAGCGCCGCTAAATGTCTTCAGGACACGAAAGATTTTTCTTATTAGGAAGAGTTCGGCAGTTATGCTAACTTTTACGCTGGCCATGTGGGAGGAGTCGGGATCTCTGAGGTCTCTTCCTTCCAAGATGATAATGAACAGAAGCATAACCCTGAGGAATGCGCAATGATGGACTTGCTCCGCCCCTACGATTAGCGTGGAATGTGGAATGTGTCGTTATAAGCGTCACCTATTCAAATCAAACCAGACATGCCACAGAACCCAAATTACATGCGTGTCTACATCTACGGCATTCTTGAGCAATATTTATCTAGACGTAGGGGCATGTGAGTGGCATACAAAGACTAGAGTGTTTCGTCATGGACACAGATTTGATCCCGGACGGGTAAGATAAGAAACGATGTGGGTATTGATTTCGTGGAAAGCTGAAAGAGTCAGACGACTTTTAAACTCACCCCAACTTCGTGCGCCTTGTGTGAAGCATCTGAAGCTGCACTCTTCACGGACGTCTGGAAAAGAATCTTTGAATTAGAGAGAAAAAAGAAAGTAGTCTCCAAGAAAATATGATGTAAATATCAATTTGGGAAAAGGTCGGGGTCCATAATTCCTTACAACAACAAAAGGTGTCTTCAGCGGCACCCGCCCTTATACCTTGGGTGAATAAGGGGGTAGCTGCGAGCGCAATCATGGCTTCGAAACTGACGGGAGAGAGGCAGAGACGCATGTATAAAGAGGATGGTCGGCACCATATACACCTCCATTGCCGAGTTGCCTTTCTTCGCTCTTCAAAATGGACCGCAACTCCCCGGAACTTCTAGTTGAGGTCTATAAGCCCGGAGGTTTTCATGATCGTTCTGAGCGTAACGCTAGTGTTACGCC